GACACTGGTTTATTCTTGAGGCTGTGGTTATTATTTTCAGTTGGCTGTTTAATTCTATTCAGTATTCCCATTTTCTGTCATTATTATATACTGCGTTCAGGTTGTAGTGCAGGTGCCCCGCCTTAGCCTCGTCACTACTTCGTCGAGGTTAGGCTCGGCACTTACCAGTACATGGGGTCGGTTGTACTGATACTGCACTCTGCACTTCTGTGTAGATTTTGGAGTCGGTCCCAGCGACAGCTACTAGAGAGCTCGAATCGGACAGCCTACAGACACTTGAGGTATAGCTGCTCAGTGCCCGCAGCTCCTGGAGTCCCCTTCCTATTTTTATTTAGTTGTTTATCCCCCTTTCAGACAGCTTACTGTTATTTCAAACCTTTGTATGTACTATTCTAGTAGTTTGTGTACTCGTGACAGCAGGTTCAGGGATTTGTAGCAAATGTTTACAATTTTAGCTTCCGTATTTATAAATTTTGGATTATTGCAATTGAATCGGTTCCTATTCATTAATAAATTTTAAATTGTTAAAAAGGATAAATTATTCTAACGTTGGCTTGCCTAGCAATTGAAATATTAGGCGCCATCACAGTCCTGACAGTGGAAATTTCGGGTCGTGACAAAGTAGTAAACAGATCGAGTGCCTAGTTTCTTTGGGCTAACATGTTCAGGAGAAAAGCTACTGTATTGGGTAAAATTTATAGGGTACAGGTGTACGTTTCTCGAATAGACACATGGCGGTGATGTCATGTTGGAGATGAGTCAGCAGATGGTTGATAACGTATATAGACATGTGACCGGTATTGTGCAAGTTCCGAAGGCATCAAGGTCGGGGAAGAGAATTTGAAAGTAAGGTACATGCTTGGAAAGGCAGAATTAAAAGAGCAGTCGTTACAGAAAATCATAGCATTTATTCCCAAACATTATACAACTATCAAGAGGATTTTTTATTTGTCTTTAAGAAGAGCATGATTTGAGGATCTTGTCTCCTCAAATTTAACTATAAATAGAAACATTTGTTGTCATTGAAAGACACGAAATACTTGTATTATAAAGGCTAGTATTCTTTCTCTCATTCTTTAAAAGCTTTATACGATTGTTTACTAGATTTGTCAATTACCCTTGGTTCCAGTGGGATCAATCTGGAGCCCAATCTTTTTCTTTCTTTAATTATATTTATTTTATTTTCTTTATCATTAATTATCTTATTAATCAGATCTATTTAATCTACATGTCTATACACCACATTTACAAATTTAATTATACTTTTTTAGGGTAAACAGCTTGGTGCTCACCGTGGGGCATAGACAATTGTGGTGTTATTTTGATATGCTCATCTTTTACTAAAGTACTTTGAAGTTTTTCTGTTGCAAGCATAAAATGGCTATGGCACCCAATGATGTCAACAACTTGCTCAATGTTGGAACAAACAACAACAATGAGTATGTGGACAATTTTCATAATGAAACTCACAGGACGATTCGACCAGTGAAACTCATATTGATGGGAATGAATCAACTCCGAACCGGGTGGAAAGAAATACTTGACGTGCGATGAGTCTTACCCCTGATGATTTGGATGACGAGCTCGTGGCTGATACTGCAAGAGTCTTAAGAGCACAACAAAAGAAGATTATGAATCATCTCTCAAGACAAGACCGGATAATGACTTGAAAGTACAAGAGGGGCGGGGGTGAATTATAGCCTTTTTAAATTTCTAGTCGAGTATACTCCTCATACCTAGTCGACTAATACGGAGACAGCATATATAATACTGTTAGTACTTTGATTCAATCAAATACTTATCTCAATAAACAGTAATTGCTTATAATAAAATATGAAATCAGTAAGGTAAATGACATCAGAAATTTTATACTGGTTTGGAACCAATGTGGTATCCTACTCCAGTCCCCTTGGGTTGCAAGGAGGTTATCTCTTTAGCTCTTTGTAATATGAGTTGAGTACAGCTTGTGTGATTTTCAACGTTCACCACAGCCATTTACAAGGTTGGTTTTTACTCGCTTACCAATAACGAACAAGGTTTGGTTTTAAATCGCTCACCAATAACGCAAAAGGTTGGTTTTTACTTGCTCACCAACAACGACAATTTGGTTTTTACTCGCTTACCAAAGAAACGAATAATGACACAACCTCTAAGGACACACTGCCTCTCCAATATTTTTCTGTCTCTCTTCACTCTTTTGTGTACACAGTAAATCTACTAAAAGTAAATTACAATACTTGTTAAGAGTAGAATAAAGAACTTGTAGTTGGGTAGATAATTGTATAGAAGGCTGCGTGGATCTTCTTCTCGGTTGCTCTTCAACTTATATTGTTGCCTCCAATATGACCGTTGCTGATTTTTCTCATTAATTCAGAATATATGATCCTTATATCATGGTCAATGTGATATATGATGGCTTTCCTTCTTAAGGAAATCTTCTTTGTGCTCCTTTAACAAATTCTTCCTAATCTTGATTCTTTCCCACAAATAAATATTCTTTCCTTGTGTAGTAAATCCCAGGCAATCTTTTTATTCAATCCATATTGCTTCTTCTTTTCTTCATAACTATAAATTTCCTTTCCAAGCTTTGATCCTCTTCCTTTATGGTCAATCTTGTACAACTTCATTATTTTTCTTCTTCTATCCTTGTCTGTGAACACTTTTGAATTTCAGCTCGATGCCTGCCTCTTGACTTGTGGAAATAAAATCTCGCTTTGTCTCCTTCTTTCCTTCCAAGATTGATTTACAACTTCCCTTATTTACATAGATCTTTAAAATATAGTTTATTTTTATATCAAAAGCTTGTAGTGACTTGGCAATATTTTTTAATAGTCTTGCCTTGAAATTATAGTAAAACCCAGCACTTGTGAACTCTTCTTCCGGCTATACAAGTATGATCTCTTATGTAAATAACCCAAGAGAATTTCAAGATCCTCTTCCTTTGACTTTGGGTCTTGAATATTGTCTTCAATACGAAGATCTCAATATATCTTTGAACTCCTATTATATTGAAAATATTCCTTTCTTGATCTTGATCAAAAATAATTTCCTTCCATAATATAGATTGTACTACATCCATATTATATTTTCATTCCATAGAAAATATATTCTTCTTATATTGAAAATATTTCTTTCTTGATCTTGGAAAATAATCGCTTTCCATAATATATATTGTACTTATATATTCATAATGTATTTTCTTTCCATAGAGAATATATTCGTCCTTGGCCTTGTAGTATGTTTTCCATATAGTATCTTCCTTGCACAAAATAATAGATCTTCTCCAGGATTTTAGCAACCTTCCTTTCAAGATATATAAGAACTTTCCTTCCATAATTTTCGTAGAGTCTTCTTCTGATATTGTAGTAAATCATTCAATATTTGAAATACGACTTTCAAATATTATTCCTTCCATGACGCTTGGAGATTAAATCTCTGAAAATAATCTTCCTTGATAAATTCATCAGATGATATTCTCTTTCCCGTATTTGTTTGGATCTTTACCAGGATCTTCTTTGTTGAATAAACCAGCATCTTCTTTCTTGAATAGGCATGTGCAATAATAAGATTACCACAATTAAATATTCTTTGATTAATAATTATGTTGGTTTGTTATCATAAAAATCAATGTGTGAAACCTTGAAGCTAACATGACTAACTTCCAGAAACATTATCGGTGGCTTCAAATAACCCCAATGGGAGAGTTCGAGCCCCTCCTAACTTGCCTATAAATCAAACGGCTCCAAGAATCGGTAACATCGCCTTGAGGGAGGAGTTTAGATCGAACAACAACCAAGCAGGCAGTGCAGGAAGATCTGAAATGAAAACAACGTAGATGATCCTTTCAATACCGAGTTCTTGAGGTGGATGAGATAAATAAATGCTCGAATGGATCAGAATGCAAAAGAGTTTCACGTCCGAATGGATAAAATTATGGGGCACCTCCAATCTTAAAAGGTTCGGACTCAACGAAGTATGTATAGTTTCTGTTTAAACCTAGTGCGGCTCCGAAGTTGATTCCAAAGAAATTCAAGATGTCGGATGTTCCAAAATATGATGGAATATTAGATCCACAGAAACACATTACAACTTACACTACAGTTGTAAAGGAAAACGATTTGGCTCCATATGAGATCGAATCAGTCTTGTTAAAGAAAGTAGGAGAAATGCTAACAAAAAGGGCTACATCGCCATGTCTTGTAGCACAAATGACCTCAAATGGACCACACCATCGAGGCTGGAGCTTTCTAAGGAAGAGCTTCAATCTCCACTTACACACAAGCACAAATTGACCCGGCTCAAACTCACAATGCATAAGGTTATTGTCACACCACTTCTTTATCTTTCCCTTATATAATTTTACATTTTCAACCAACTGCAGCTTTTTAGGCTTACTTCTCTTTGTGATGGCATCAACACTCATATCAATCTCGGGATCTCTTGCCTTTGGTTCAATCACCGAAATCATGCACAAGTTCTCATAATGCTTGGGAAGGTTGAGCGCCTTGCACATATTAAATGTAACTTCTTCATCATGCACTCTCATATTTAGCTTGACTTCCTTACATCAATTAGTGCTCCTCCAGTGGCCAAGAATGGCCACCCCTAAATAATTGGAACTTCCTCATCGGCCATGCAATCGAGAATAATGAAATCAACGGGAAAGATGAACTTCCCCACTCGAACCAGCACATCTTCAATTATCCCTTTGGGCACTGCTAATGACCGATTCGCTAGTTGTAGAGTTATAGTGGTAGGCCTTAAGTGCTCCCAATTCGAGCTACTTGAAAACAGATAGAGGCATCATATTAATGCTCACTCCCAGGCTCTACTAACCTCGTGTTTTCCTATCGCCAAGGGAATTATGAAATAACCTGGATCCTTCAACTTAGGTGGGAGCTTACTCTGTACTCTAGTATTGCACTCCTCAGTAAGTACAACCGTTTCAAACTCTGTCAACCTTCTTTTATTGGCCACGATGTCTCTCAAGTGCTTGGCATATTTAGGAACTTCTTGCAGCACTTCTATCAAAGGTAGATTCACCCGCACCTGGCTCAAGATATCTAAGAACTTTTTATACTTGGACTCATCTTTCGACTTTTGCAACCTTTGAGGAAAAGGCGGTGGTGGCCTTACCTCTATCTCTTGCCTGTGTTCAACATCTTTCTTTTCAGCTTCTACCTCTGGTTGAGGTACCAATCTTTCAAAAACTTCTTTAGGCACATACTTTTTGTGAGGAAACTCCTCCAATGCTTTCCCACTTCTTAGATTAATTGCTTGTACCTATCTAATGGGACTTTTCTCATTATCACTTGGGAGTGTTCCAGTAGGTCGAGTATTTTTTTTGTGTAGCTAACTGCCTAATCTGCCTTTCTAAATTTCTAATTTCAGTCCTCAACTGCTGGTTATCAATTAATAGCTTTTTCAACATATCATTGGTGCTTTCTTCTACCTGTTGTGGTGGCTTTTGGGGTTGATTGTAGTTCCCTTGGGGTCTGTATTGATTTTGAGTAGCCTAATTTCCACCCTATGAGAAGTTCGGATGATTCATCCAGTTAGGATTATAAGTGTTCCCATATTGCACATTTTGATTTGTTGGACCTCTATTCTGTTGGCCCACATAATAAATAGATTTTGGATTCACCGAACATTGGTCACTCATGTGACTTTCTCCACAAATTTCACAACATCTAGACATTTGTTGCACATGCTGCGCTTGTTGCATTGTCATCTGATTTACTGGTTGGCTAACTTTGCTCTATCAGCTCTCATGGCTGAGAAATCATCAAGCTCATTAACATATGATGCCTTCTATTTAAGTGCTCTTTGTGGTTCCCCATCTCCTTGCCAATTATTATCGTTAGCCATGAAATTGTTCAGCATGAGCTGGATTTCAGTATACGGTCTAGCCATGCAACTACCTCCACAGGCCGAATCAAGATTCATCTTGGATGCTTCGTCTAACACATCAACAAAAGTATGACCCAGGACTTTATCAGTCTGACAGTGATGTGGGCAAACTTTGAGTAGATTTTATATCTCTCCTAGGCTTGACGTAGAGTCTCACTATATTTTTGTTGAAACCCCAGAATTTGGCTTCTTAGTGACTTTGTTGTCTTTGTGGGAAAGAATTGGATAAGGAATTTCGGTGCTAGATCATCCCATGTTCGAATTGAGTTTTCTGGCTCTTTGTTCAACCACTCCTTTGCTTCCCCCAACAGAGAAAAGGGAAACAAGTTCGGTAGTATTTGGCGACGTTCGGATAGTTATATGTATCCGTAATCTCCAAAAAAACATTATATGTGCATCTGTAGATATTCACTTGGCAAACCTACGAAATTCCCTATGGATTGGATCAGTTTCACCATGTACTGTTGCAGCTCGAAGTGCCCAGTTATATCAGGCTTCACGATAGCCTGATTCATGTTCGCGAGACTAGGCCTTACGGCCTCAATCACCGGTCTCTCATCATTCTCTGCCATTTCGATTGGCAGTGGTTTGACTACAACGCCCAACTATGTAGTTCTTGATCTTGCTTCCGCCTCCCTCCTTAACTTGATGTAACGGCCCGGTTGTTCGTTCTGAGAGTTATAGCCCCGTTTCCCCTATTTCTACTTCTTATTGTGTTGTTCAGTTGTTTTGAATTATATCGAGTTGGTAGGTTTGGATTCGGAGTAGTTTTTGGAGTGAAATGAATACTTAGTCTTTTATTTAGAAAGCCAAGTTAGAAAAAGTCAACCAGAAGTTAACTTATGAGTAAACGAATTCGGATTTGGATTTTTATGATTCGGCTAGCTTCGTTGGGTGATTTTAGACTTAGGAGTGTGTCTGGAATGTAATTTGGAGGTCCGTGGTAAAATTAGGCTTGAATTGGCGAAAGTTAGAAATTTGGCGATTTTGGTCAGTAGTGGAAAATTAGGTATCGGGGTCGGAATGGAATTTCGGAAGTTGAAATAGGTTCATAGTGTCATTTGGGATGTGTGTGCAAAATTTGAGGTTATTCGGACGTGATTTGATAGGTTTCGGCGTCGTTGTGCTCGTTTTTTTATGTTTCGATGTCGTTTCTTCCAGCATAAATGGTAGCACATTAAGAAAATGAGCTCCGATTTCTGTTTTGATTGAAGTATTAGATCCGTATCATAATTATGGAGCCATAGCAAAATGAATCGTTGAATTGGGGCATCGTATGAGGAATTTATGGTCATTTTACTAAACAATTGGGTTGCCAGATTTGTCAAAATAACTATGAACTTGCCACTAAATTCGTAATTAAAAATCTGCACTATTTGCATATATTGAAACCAACATATCTCATTCATTATAAGGTCAAATTGAGTGATTCAAAAGCCTAACTTGACTAGACTTTCACAAGAAATCCATTAGAGGCATAAAAAGCGAGTTTCAGGATCGTTTGGAATGAGAAACGAGGCAAAATAGCTGGCAGAAAAATATATAAAATGAGGGTTTGTTCATTCGGTCATATTTTGAGTTCGGGAACTCGGATTTGGGCGATTTTGGGGGCGATTTTCACCATCAGAATTGGGGTAAGTGTTCTCTACTCAGTTTTGGCTATATTTCATGAATCCATCTTCGTTTTTGGGATTTGATTGATGATTTCAAAGTCAAATTGAGGGAGTTAGGGCTTGAGTTTTGGAGAGTTTAAGTGAGGATTTGAGGGATCAAACGGAGTCCGATTTTGATGAATTTTATATGATTAGACTCAAGAGAGGACGAGGTTTATTATTCTTCAAGTTTTGACTGATTTCGAAACGTGGGCCCGGGGGTCGGGTTTTGGCCGATTTCAGATTTTTGGCATATTTATGTAGTTTTTATTGTGAAAATCGATTCTTTAGACTATGTTGATAGTAGTATTCTAATTTTTGGTTAGATTCGGTGCTTTTGGAGACCGAGTCCAGAGACGAGAGCATCCCGGAGTAGGATTTTACGCTGTTAAGGTAAGTAACGGTTTTAACTCTGGCTTTGAGGGTATAAACCCGAAGAATTTGATATCGTGTGACTGTTTGGAGGTGATACCCATGCTAGGTGATGGGCGTGTGGGTGTATTCCTCGAGGGATTGAGACTTGGTCCGTCCCGTGAGGCCTCATGGGCCATCATCTGTGTTTACGTAGTTACTTGTTGTTGAACTTGTCTGCCTTCATGTTAGGTATCATGCTTAGGCTTTATTCATGCTCACATTAATTATACTCAGTCATAGAAATTATTGTACATGTTTACCTCAGTCTGTATTATTTGCTGATATGCTGTGATACTTGATGTGAGTTGTGTTATCTTATTTGTTGATGATGGTGAGGCTAGTGAGGTACATGATTGAGTGAAGACGAGGGCCTAGTTGTGAGGATATTAATACCATAGCGCGTGAGTTGTCCGCGTAGCACATGAGTTGACCATGCGGGTCCAGGTATTGATACCATAGCGCATGAGTTGTCCGCGTAACACGTGAGTTGACCGTGCGGATCCAGGTGTTGATATGATGGTACGTGAGTTGTCCGTGCTTAGCGCTTGGGCTTTGGAAACCCCTCCTGAGTCTGTACACACTCCCAGTGAGCACACAGTGTTGAGCATTGAGTGCTGAGTGCGAGTGCTGAGTGATGGAGTGACATTGTTGTGAGGTTGCATTTACTTTTGTTGTTGCTGCATTTACCTGTTAATTTTCCTTGTAGTGTTACTGATTTATGAAATTACCTGTCTACTCCTGTTTGTACTTAATTGTGAAAATAATAATTGAATTATTCTTCTTAGCTCATTACTACTGCTCAGTTCCTTAGTTATTTTTGTTACTACTGAGGCGGTTGTACTCATACTACACCCTGCACTTTATGAGCAGATCCAGGTGAGTTAGAGGGCGGCGATCGTTGAGTTCAAGCCATTTCTGAGCTTACATCAATTGTCTTATGATGTACTCTCACGTATGAAAGCATGGGGTGTAACATTATTCCCCCCTTTGGAACATTCATCTTCGAATGTTGACTTATGCGCTTATCAGTCTCATAACCTAAAACTCTTACCAATACTTTAATACTGTCTTTGCCATCTATGCAACTGTTTTGCAAATAAATCCGAAGGCCAGGGCATTCCCCCCTTTAGGCCTCTTTCTCACACCACGACTTGTGGTCGAAATTTATCCAATCTCACAACTATTGTTACTTTCTATCATGCAGCTTGTACGACTTTGTCCTTGTATGTGCGACTATGTGACCCTTCTCTTCTTTTTCCTCCAGCCTTTAGCCAATCTCTAGGCCGCACTTTGTGAACATGTATAGAACTATGACAAGCTATCTTTCTAGGCATCTATAGGTGTACTGAAGTCCTTTTCTTGGTACTTTGTCGAACTTACGACTATTTTTATATCTTGTTCCATAGCCTCGTTATCTATGCTTGTGGCTTTACTAAATCTAGGTAGGTTATGCTATACCATAACGCTTGCTTCAGTTTATTATTACTGAGATCTACTGCCCAACTTCAGGTTACTCTCTCTCAGCTTATCCTATATATATAAATCTAAGTCCTCTAATGCTTCCTCATCACTGTTCATCATAAGAATGATAGCCTAATATCATCTCATACTTTGTAACTTTTATCGATCCATTTTTTATTCAGCTTAATGTTGATCTATTATTAACCAATGATAACTTGAAACCTCTTACGTAATACATTATCACTAGGGTACAAGTCGCATATGCACATTGCGGTGCAATTGTTGACTAGCTTGGTAGCTGAGTGATGGTGATAAATCGGTTAGTTTGAGAGTTCGTGATTTTATTAATCTAGACCCTCCAATGTTTACCGGATTAGACCCGAAGGAGGACCCGCAGACATTTATTGATCAGGTTCATCGTACATTACGGGTTATGCATGCTAGTGATACGGAGGCAGTAGAGTTGGCTTCTTATCGGTTACGGGCTTTAGTGGTTTGCTAGTATGATAGTTGGGAGAGATCTAGGGGTCCGAACGCTCCTCCAGCTATGTGGAAGGAATTTTTTGAGGCCTTTCTTCATCACTACTTGCCAATTGAGATACGGCGAGCTAGAGCTGATAAGTTCTTGAACCTTCGACAGGGTAATATAAGTGTACGAGAGTATAGTATGCAATTTGATTCTTTAGCAAGGTATGCTCCCCATATGGTGGCCGACATGAGCGATAGGGTGCACCTATTCGGGAATAGGTTGGGACCACACTTGATAAATAATTACATGACAGCCTCCTTGGTAGAGGGCATGGATATTTCCCGTATTCAGGCTTATGCCTAGACCCTAGAGGATCATAAGCGCCAGCAAAGGGCAGAACTTTGGAGACTGCAAGGTAGTTGTTAGCGTCCGTAGGACCTTGTTACTCCTTTTATAATTTCTTCTTTTGAGACTGTATAGACAGTTAGACAGTTATATATCCTAGTTCATAGTTTTAGACGCTCATGACTTAGTGACACCCCGATGTTTTAGGCTCGTTTCCGTATTTTCTATATTATATTTAGAGTTGATTTAGTTTATGAGAAATTCAAATGTTGGTATTGTTTTATTAAATTCTTATAATCAATTTAGTAGTAATATTTTGGGAAATACGCTTGCCTTGTAATACGATAGGCGCCATCACGACCATGGTTAGATTTTGGGTCGTGACAAGTTGGTTTCAAAGCCTAGGTTACATAGGTCTCACGAGTCATGAGCGGGTTTAGTAGAGTCTTGCGGATCGGTACAGAGACGTCTGTACTTATCTTCGAGAGGCTGCAGAACCTTTAGGAAAATTTCACATTCTTGAATTCTTATTGTGCGGTATTGATTCAGCTTGAAGTGTAACTTTTTGAATTCCTTCCATGCATTTGTATGTGCACATGAGCGCTCGGTATCAGTTGTGCATCGACGGCTTGTGATTCCCTGGATGAGGTGCGAGATGTGATTTTTGTGTGTTGATGTTGGGCCGGTCTGGAGGACTTGAGGCCGGGTGTGACTGTAGCTTGAGCACTGAGGTGTTGATTGTGTGAGCATGCGCTTTTGGATTTATATGTTCGGTAGTGTCTCTATTAGTGGAAGTGATGGCTGGATGGCTACGTGATAAGTATGATGTGTCTACGAGCTGAGTTCATATAATTTGAATGTGACGAGAAGGATTTGCTTGAGGTGTAGAAAGAAACTATTTGGTGCTTGATTTCCATCTTGATTTGATGTATAAGTTATGGGTATGTTGAAGGATCTCTTCATGTTTTTTAGTTGGGGAGTGAAGTAGATTTCATGTCGTGATATGAGTTCAGAATCCAGGTATGTTTTGTTTTCAGACTCGTTCGAGGACGAACGTTTGTTTAAGAGGGGGAGGATGTAACGACCCGATCGTTCGTTCTGAGAGTTAAAGCCCCGTTTCTCCCATTTCTACTTCTTATTGTGTTGTTCAGCTGTGTTGAGTTATATCGAGTTGGTAGGTTTGGGTTCAGAGTTGTTTTTGGTGTGAAATGAACACTTAGTCTCTTATTTA